ATTGAAGTCTTCTAATGACTGCTGGGTTTTGTGATCACCTTCACTGAGCCTCGTAGACATTAAGTGACTTTCTTCTTTCCTTCTTCCCTCCTTCCTTTCCTCTCTCCCTCCCTCCCTCCATCTTTCTCTCTCTTCTTTCTTTCTTTGTCTCTCTCTCTCCTTCTCCCTTTCCCTCCCCCTCCCTTTTTTCTTTTCTCTTTCATCTCACTCTGTTGTCCAGGCTGGAGTGCAGTGGCACAGCCACAGCTCAAGGTAGCCTCAACCTCTTGGGCTCAAGTGATTCTTCTGCCTCAGTCTCCCAAGCGGTTGGGATTACAAACATGTGCCACCATGCCCAGCTAATTTTTTGGTTTATTGTAGAAACAAGATCTTGCCATGTGATCCAGGCTGGTCTTAAACTCCTGGGCTCAAACAATCCTTGGTTTCCCAAAGTGCTGGGATTACAGGCGTGACTTGCCACACCTGGCCTAGTTTTCCAGCAGTCATGCAGCATGAGCTGGAGTCTGTATCACCGACCTTGTGGCTTCAGTCCTTTTAGATGGGTCCTCATAGCTTCCTCTGCTCTCTGATACTCAACTTTGGTATGTGCCTCTTTATCCCGTGAGCACATCTGAGCTCAGATGAGGTCCTGAAAACAGAGGGCCACATTGCTCCACTCTGAAATGTGCAGGGTCTACTTTTTAACATTTGCCCTAATTTCACCTTTTTGTCCTACAAATACCAACTTGGCAGAGTCTGTCTACCCTGATATCTCCAGTGTTCCCAAGTCAATGCCAGTGTTTTCTTTCTGATCACAACTAGATAGTGTAATCAGCATTCTTAATCAATCATCCCATCTAATTTTCATTTATCTTTTTCTTTAAATATCCTGTAAGTCAAACCTGTGTTTCTGCTGGTAGCTGCTGATGGCTTGCCAGTAATAACAGTCCCTCCCATGCTTCCCCTGCACGTCTGAGTCTACAATGATCAGCTGAGCGACATCGAGACCATCTCTGATGCTCTGCTCTAAACAGAATTAGGGTTTCTACAGATGTCCAGTAAACAAGCCCCTGCTAAAAATGCAAACATCTCTCCTAGGGACAGAGCATTGTCATTTTTAGACCAGATAAATACCCAGATAGCTATCTAAGTGGCTGAGTGTGTGTGTAGGCTCACCGGGTGAGAGGCATCTACCCTGGCTTCCTGGCCCCCTTGCAGCTTTACCAGCCACATGCGGACACAGAGTAACAGCAGCAAGTGTTTCTTGTCATTTGCAATATTAGCCTAAGTAAGCCCTAAATTGAAAGGCACCGGCTTGACTTTGAATGAGAGTCACATGTCTCCAGCCAAGCAAAACTGAGCATTGTCTTGGTTTTTTGTTATTCTCCTCCACCCTGCTCCCACCTGCTTTCAGACAAGTGCTTTTTAAACAGAAAAATCTGGGAATAGTAAATTTTGAATACAGGCAACTTTGAATAGTAGAGAGGTAAACAATAGTAAACAGAAGCTACAGAGAAGGGATGTAAGCAAATATGCCTCCAGGGCATTCTGTTGCCTTTGTGTGTTGTGATTATGGAGATTCTGTGTGACAGCATGTGGGACCCTCCCTGTTTGGTAAAGAGACATGTCAAACATTCTAGGACAAATTTTTTTTTTTACCCTGGGATTAAATTCTAAGAAGTTCACTGAATATAATATTTCATGGAGCCGGCTGTGTGATGCACTAGAAAATACTTAAGACAAAGACTGTAACAAATGCAGAAAAGACTTTCATTGGGTCAGTTTAGGTTGGTTCTTATGAAAAACTGGGAGCAAGTCCTCTGGAATTGGGATTTTGGATGAGCGTCATTAAAAATAAAAATTTTTTTGTGCAGAAACCCATTTTATGGAACTGATCAAAAAGGGACTGCTCTAATTATAGCAAAGGGTGGGTGCCCATATCCCACACCCCATCCTTCCCCTGACACCTCCCTCTCCCTGTGAGTCAGGGACATTAAGAACAGGACATTAAGAAAAACTTCACCAAAGTAAGTCTACATCATGTAAGTCGCATGTGGAAAAAGGGCTTCTTGGTACAGTAGTGATGAAAGAACATTCTTTCTTAATGATTTAAAATGTATACTAGCATACTAGAGTATTCTAGCCATTTGTGATGATTAATTTTGTGTGTCAGCTCGGCTAGGCCATGATACCCAGATGATATTTGGTCAAACGTTATTCTAAATGTCTCTGTGAAGGTATTTTTTTTTGGAAGAGATGAACAGTTGAATCAGAAGACTTTTTTTTTTTTAAATTTTTAATTTTAAGTATGTGGGGTACAATTCAGGGTTAGGTCTGCAAAATCAGAAGACTTTGAGTAAAGCATATTACTTGCCTTAATGTGATTGGACCTCATCCAATCAGTCAGAGGCCTTTAGGAAAAATATCCTGAGGTCCCCCAAGGAAGAGGGAATTCTATTTCTAGACTCAAGCTGAGATATCTGTTCCTCCCTGGGTTCTCAGCCTGCATGCCCACTGTGCAGATTTGGGACTTGCCAGCCCCCAAAATGGCATGAATCAGCTCCTTACAACAAATCTCTCTCTGTATAAGATATGTGTCACTTAATGCCTGGGATATGTTTTGAGCAATCTGGCATTAGGCAATTTTGCCATTGTGGGAGCATCATAGAGTGTACTTATACAAACCTGGATGGTCTAGCCTGTTATACACCTAGGTTACGTGGCTAGCCTATGGCTCCTAGGCTACAAACCTATGTGGTATCTCACTGTCCTGAATACTGTAGGCAATTGTAACATAATGGTATGTATTTGTATATCTAAACATATCTAAACATAGAGAAGGTACAGTAAAAAATTCGGTATGAAACCTTAAAAAATGGTCCATCTATACAGAACACATACTGTGACTGGAGCTTGTAGGACTGGAAGTTTCTCTGGATGAGTTGGTGGGTGAGTGGTGAGAGAATGTGAAAGCCTAGGATATTACGGTACACTATTGCATAAACACTGTGTTCTTAGGCCATACTAAATTTATAGGAAATATTTTTCTTCAGTAATAAATTAACCTTAGATTACTGTAACATTTTTACATTACACAATTTTTAATTTTTTTAAACTTTTGACTTGTTATAACACTTAAAACATGAACACATTGTAGCGCTGTACAAAAATATATTTTCTTTACATCTTTATTGTATGAACTTTTTTCTATTTAAAAATTATTTTGCTTTATTTCACTTGAAATTGTTTTTTGTTAAAGACTAAGACACGAACACACACATTAGCGTAGGCCTACACAAAGTCAGGATGATCAATACCACTGCCTTCTACCTTCACGTCTTGTCCCACTGTAAGGCCTTCAGAAACAATAACACACGTGGCATTATCTCCTGTGAGAACAATGCCTTCTTCTGGAACACCTCTTGAAGGACCTGCCTGAGGATATTCTATAATTTTTTTTAATAAGTAAAAGTGCGCTCTAAGATAATGATAGAACTGTAGTTTAGTCAACATAAACCAGTAACAGTTGCTTATTGCAATTAAGTATTATATACTGTACATAATTGTATGATACCCTTGCTAGGAGTAGGTTTGCTTGCACCAGCATCACCACAGACAGGTAAGTAATGTGTTGTGATACAATGTTACAATAGTTAAGACAGGAATTTTTCAGCTCCATTGTAATCTTATGGGGCCACCATTCTATGTGCAGCTCACTATTATACACCAGATATCGACATTTTGTCAACAATGGACCTCATATATGATAGTGGTCTCATAAAAGTATAATACCATATTTTAACTCAACCTTTTCTATGTTTAGCTATATTTAGATACACAGATACTTATCATTGTGTTACAATTGCCTACAGTATACAGGACAGTAACATGCTGTACAGGTTTGTTGTCTAGGAGCAATAGGCTAGACCATAAATGCCTAGATGTGTAGTAGGCTAGACCATTTAGATTTGTTGTAAGTATACTCTATGACCTTCACACAATGGTGAAATTGCCTAACTGCATTTCTCAGAACATATGCCTTTTGTTAAGGGACACATAACTGTACATACATACACATACACACACATATATACAATGTTGGTTTTATTTCTCTGGAGAACGCTAACTAATGCATGATTCTTGACTTTTTTTGTGGCATTTTATGACATATGAACTCATCTGGTGAGTTCTACTTGATCTCAGGACTCCTAATCAGGGCACAGTAGCTCCTGTTGACAAGAGTTGGTGCACTTTGGCCTCTCTTAGCCTGGGTGTTTTACAACAATCATAGCACGAAGAGCATAAACGTAGAACAGGAAGTGTGGTTTTTGTTTTCTTTTACTTTGTAATTTGGCATATTGCAAAGGGCATTAACTGAAAGGCAAGCCAAAACGAAGCACCTCAGAGCCTTCGATTGTTGTACAGAATACTAATGAACTAGAAACGGATGCAAGTTCTCCTCAATGCCTCCTTCTGAGTTTATTTATTTTTCTTTTCTCTCTCTCTCTCTTTTTTAAATAACAAGCTTTGTAATCCTGTTTTCAATCTGTTTTGCCCCATGGAGGTGGCAAAAAATAACAGTTTCACACTGATAACACTGAAAAGCAAAAGCTGATAAACTGAAAACAAAACGTAAGAATTAATATCAGAAAAAGAAGATACAAACACTAACTACGAGGACAGCATCCGGAGTGTGTGGGGTGTGGGGTGTGGGGTGTGGGGCAACTGTCTGGGGTGAGTCCTCCAGAGAGCAGAGGGAGGAAAGGTTTGGGAACACTGTTCCCAAACCCTCAAGGCCAAGTTGCATAAGAAGTCAGAGAATAATCTGCACATTTCAGAGACATTTCCAACCAAAATGTTGAAAACAGAGCCACAGGCTGGGCTCTGTGGATCTTCAGCTCAGTCCCCAGCGTGTTGGGAAATACACTCTGGGCGCCTCCTCCTTGACGGATCTCTGAGTCTGAGGCCAAGCACAGACTGTCCTCGCTGCTCTCATCTGTGATCTTCATGCTTTGAAACAGGTTCTCTCTAGTGTCCTCACCATGGCTCTGTCTGGAAAGTGTGATGAGGAAATCCTTCATCTCCTGCTGACATTTCCTGAGGATGAAAAATCGTGGTTTGCCACTAAGGAACTCTGTGGCCTGCCGGGGTCACAAGTGTATCCGCTGATTGTGTTGATGATTCGAAACCTGAACCTGCGATCTTTCATCTACAAGGTATGGAGGGCTTTGCCAGCTAGGGCAGTGGAACTTATGAAGAGCGCCATGCAGTGCTATGTGAAGAGTAGAGTATGTCCTGGGCACGCAGCGGCTGGACACCAGCACTGGGCCACTCTGTGGCAGCCTTTGCCAGTCTCTGGTGTCATCTGTTGGCTAATTCCAGGGTGCTGCTCAAGAAGAATTTGCCACAACAAAGGGATATTGAGGAGACCCTTCAGGGGGCCTTTGGAGTCAGGTGCATCAGGGTACTGGCACAGCGTTGGTGGTGGTCTTCACTCTCAATATGGCACAACCAACAGCAAAAAAAAAACAAACAACAAAACACCACTGGCCTCTAGCGCTAGGTATTCCCTCCTCTGAAGGCCATCTTCTTGGAGTGTGCTTGGGAAGCCTGGGAGTATGTGGGGTCCACTCCGGAGCTGCCCAGGTCAGGAGCTGCTCCCCTACCATGGTGGACCTGTCAGTAGAAAGTGTCCAGGACTGCCCTGGAGAAGGTGTGGGGAGGTGGGAGCATGGGAAGGCCCTATGCTTGCAGGTTCTTTACCTGCCCATGATACTCCCACGTATAGCATTGTGAGGGTGTGGAGGGGTTGCAGGAACCTCAAGACGATACCATCTGCAGGAGGGGGTTGGAGGTGGAAGGTGAGCGAGACCTCAGGCAAACCCAAGTCCAGGTCCTTCGTGAGGCCTGAGGGTCCTTCGTGGAGGCCACTCAGTTCCCAACCTTAGCTCCCTGCTGTTGGGGCGGCCCCTTCCAGAAATTCTTCCTTCTTCTGGCTTCCACTGTTTGAATCTTTACTTAAGTTTCTGGAAAATTTATTCCTTGCCCTTAGCATTGTTTTTCCTTTAGGAATATAGCTCACAACATCAGGGTTAATCAGGGGGACTGCATGGTGTGCAGTATGGCAAGGAGGCTGATGGCATTCCAAGTCTGGGAGAACAATCTTGTGGGCAGGAAAGGGTTGGTTTGCCATTCCAGTTATTCATGGCCTTCTTCACTTCCACAACCCAAGAATCCAGTGGGTAAATGTTGGAACGCATACCCACACACGCACACACGCACACGTACGCACGCACACGCACACACACACACACGTTCAGGGAGCAAATATTAAATTTCAGAACTGATGCATTTTAAAACCAAAAGTCGAGGGTAAGCATTTCCTGTGTCCCCATGATTTGAGAGCCCACCTCATCCCCTAGAGTTAATATTTCCGGTTAACACACAGAACGGTTTAGTTCTGCATTTGTTCCCACAGCCAATATTTTAGCGGCTGTTCTGTTATGCACACAAAGGTATTTGAGATGAGGATTTTTAAGGGGCCCCATAATTACTGAGATAAAGGCCACCATTCATGCCAAGATTTCTTTGGAGGATGAGATAATGGGTTGGGTTCAGTCTCCCAGACACAGTGGGAGTGGCACCACCATCAATAGCAACAGCTCCTGTTTGCCAGGTCCCCTCTATATGCACGGCCTGTGACAGTTGATCAAAGGCAAGACGTTGCTCAGGGATGGTAGGGCAGTCCCACACCTGCAGTCACGGGCATCCATGTGAGGATCCCAGCGGGGCTCCAGCCCACTCCAGGTCCTCGTGTGTTCTGCTTTATTAGGCTGACCATGAATTCCTTGGTCATGAAGCCTTCTGCAACACACAATTTGCTATTTTATTTATTTTTACTTTACTAATATTTGTGATACTAATTTGGCACATTCGCCTGGACTGTCAGTGCTACAGCAGAATCCCAGGCACTCCCCACCCTAAGTCATGGGTCGCTGTGTGCCATTTCTAAAGGGCAGCTATAATTAGAGTGGTGGGCAGAAGAAGGTACAAAAACTGCCCGCCGTTTCCCCTTCTTGGGTTGTCTCTCTTGTCAAATGGAGGGAATTATTATTATTAGCAGAGCACATCTGCGAAGGATGGAGCTGTGATCTTGGGGCCCTGAGTGTCAGCTGCAGGGCCAGCTCCCAAGTGGCAGGAGCAGAACCTCAGTGAGCAAAGATAAAGGAGCAGTGATGATGAGGGAGGAGGCCCCGCCCCAGTCTGGAAAAGTTGAAATTCAGCAGGCAAATGACAGAGGGAGGAGAGTTGTCTTGAGTTTTCCTGCCTGAAAAGCATTTGCTCATCTACCCATTCATCCAGCAAATATGTACTGAGCAACTGATATTCCCAGATGCTGTCCTATGTCAGGTAGCTACATAAATGACCAAGACAGAAAACAAAACAAGCAAACAAATAAATAGCAACCAAAAACCCTAGACAAACCCTGCCTTTAAGGAATTTAGTCTAGAAACTGAGACTATGCAAATAACAAGTAAAATTCATAACATGTGAGGTGGGGATAGCACACGTAGCTTTCTAAGGTCACTGATATTTTTAAAATATCTGAGGTAAATTCACAGCCTGGAGCCTTCTAGCTGTGAGACTCCAGGAAGCCCTGTAATATCTTCCAGTTTCCTCATCCACAAAATGAACACTATAATGCACATCCCCATGGTATCGGAAAGGCTGAAATGGTGTGTGAACCTCACAAATACAGTAAGGCAGTAGATAAATGTAAATTCTTTCATATATAAGCATTGCTTATATTTTGAATCTCATCTTAAATTTCTACCTTAGTCGCCTCAAAGGTACAAAAAATATTTTGTTAATAATTTGAATTTTAATGATGGATCACATTTGTTTGTGGTTTCCATTTTAATAATTTAGTGTACTCCAAAGAACTGAACTATATTATATATACACACACTCTAATAAAGACAACTTTTATATAATACAACAAAGATGTCTCTGAAGTTCAAGGGAGAATAAAATCAAATGACCCAGTCTTCACTTTTCAAAAGGTGATGGTAAGAGTTAAAGTACAGTGTTGGGTGTGTCATGTTGTATTGTTTTTGTTTTTGTCCTTGAAGACTCTGATACCTTCTGAAGGAAATGGCTTGCTCAGCTCCCTGTTAGATGTAGTTTCCAGTCTCAGCTCCTTGCTTGCCAAAGCCCAGCATGTCTTTGAATACCTCCCTGAATTTCTTCACACATTTGAAATCTCTGCCTTGCTAGATATGCCAGACTTTCAACAGGTATGTGTTTCATCTTCGCCCCTAGAAAGATATTCAATTTTTTTCTCTCTCCGTATTTCCTCTTTTTGCCTTTATTTATCTTCTCACCTGTAGAATTTGCCTGAGACAGCAAAATACAAGAGTGGAAATAGCTTTTAATATCTCTGGAGGCAACGGGATGGCACAGCATCAGGCCTGGCATCTGAAATTGCCATTGTTGATCCACACTGCACCCATGGGGAGACTGGGACAGTGCGTGCATTGTCTAGGACTTAAGAAATTATGAACGCAATTATTACCACAGATGAGATGTCAAGGGCCTGTTTAACTTCATTCAGAAAGCAAATTGCTTTCAAAAACCTTAAAACATTTATTTACATATAAGTAATTGGCTTACAAATTGAAGATCATTTGCTACGAATGTAAACACAAACTGGAATGAGGTTGGTGGCTTGATATTAGTTTTCGCTTGAACTCTCTTTGCTTGGGATGGAACTGACTCTGCACAGGCATGGAGGAGAGTGGGATTGTCTAGGGTGGGAGGTTTAGAATAAGGAGCCAGATAGCAATGTCTTCAGAACCTCTGTGGAGGGAGAATGTCAGTAAGTCCACCAGCTGATGGGCAATTTGTGTAGCTCTTAATTATTGGGGTAATTTGATGGTGTAGACACACATTAAGACTATTAATTAGTCCAAGTTAGTGATATTTTTATGGATTAATAACTTATTATTAGATAAATAATGAGTTGCTATTGTGTGTGTGTCTGTGTGTGTGTGTGTGTGTGTGTGTGTGAATGTGAATGTGAGAGAGACATTTTCCTCTTCTACCAAGTATGTTGGCCAGAAAATCGTTGCAGTGATTTGAATCGTATCCCTAGGCCAGAAAAGTCTAAAGCAGAGATCCCATTCCTTTGACTTGTCAAACATCTTGTACATCAAAGGGACTACACTTTCAGAAGTATGCAAGGGAATTGTTTTAAGTCATTATGTACTTGCAGTTTATTGTTCTTATATTTTCAGGTTTTACAAAATGCCCAGGCCCGAAGTTCAGCCTTTGGTTCTTTCCAATCTGTGATGAAGATGGTTTGCAAGGACCAAGCATCGTTCCTGAGTGATTCTAACACATTCATTAATTTGCCCAGAGTTAATGAACTCCTGGAAGATGACAAAGAAAAATTCAACATTCCTGAAGATTCAAGTAAGACTATAATCATCTATATTTGTTGAGATTAATTTGTGTCTTGAAAATTGGCTCTGTTTTATACTTAATATTCTGTATGTATAGAAATTTACTACATACTGGCATAGAATCTTCTTGTTTCTACTGCCTGATTGTCCACAAATGCTGGCATGACAGCTGGCTTTGGAAGGTCCTTGTACACAGACTAACCCCTCTACTTTTGTCACTAAGAAACTGTGTCACCAGGGAAACTGAGTCACACCTGAAACCTCAGCCCCTTAGGCTTCCCAGGCTAACCAGTATTGGAGCAGGATCAGTCACAAAGACTGCAAGCACCATTTTGGTCTGTGCAAAATGGCTATATCTTATAACAAAGAGAACTTATCTGTGGCCACCTCCAAATTTGCTGCCCATAAAGCTCAGGTGCAAATGAATGCAGATTCATCAGTGATTTTTTGGCCCCATTTTAAGTGAATATGTATTTATTAGAAAGGCAGATTAAACACTGCTAATGAGGGCTTGGAGTTTAGATAGTTCAGCTTTGCCAGTTGTACATTTTTTGTTTCTTTGCTTCTTTTTTTGAGTTGGAGTCTCACTCCATCACTCAGGCTGGAGTACAGTGGCACATTCATGGCCACCTCAGTGTCGACCTGCTGGGCTTGGGCAATCCTTCTGCTTCAGCCTTCCAAGTAACCTGAACTACAGGTGTACACTATTATGCCTGGCTAATTTATTTATTTATTTATTGTAGAGGTAAGGTCTTGCCAAGTTGCCTGGGCTGGTCTTGAACCCTTGGGCTCAGGCAATCCTCTCGTCTCAGCCTCCCAAAGTGCTGAGATTACAGGCTGAGCCACCGAGCCTGGCCCAGTTGTGCATTTTTGGTGACATTATTTTGTATGTCTGCATCATGTTAGTGGTATCTATAACAAGGAAACCATAGCACTTAGGTCATCAACTTGCTGTGAGCTGTAATTGAGATGAGTATTAGCACCTTAGCATAATGGTTTAAATGTGTATTCGTTTTCTATGCTGCATGACAAATTGCTGCACACTTAGTGTCTTAAGACAACATGCATTCAACATCTCATGGTTTCTGTAGGTCAGCATCCAGGCTTGGGATCTTACAAGGCTGTAATGAGGGTGTTGGCCAGTACTGGGGTCTTATCTGAGGCTCAGGGTGTTGTTAGCAGAATTATTCTCCTTGAAGCTGCCAAACTCATGGGGGCTGTGTCTTCAAGGCCAGCAAGAATATCTCTTGACTCTTTTAAAGAGTTTACCCAATGCTTAGCCAGGATGCTTGATTGCTCAGACCTTTTAATGAACTCCAAGTCAACTGATTTAGGGACCTTATTTGCATCTTCAAAATTTCCTCACCTCGGTTGTGAAACCTAATCATGTGCATGGCACTCATCACATTCACAGATTCTTTCTGCACTCAAGGGCAGGAAATCACGCAAGGTGTGAATTCCAGGGACTCATTTTAGAATTCTTCCTACCACACCCAAGACGTACCTTTACTCATATATACTTAGTGCCTGTGCGGAACTGAGGACAGTTGGTGTTGGTGGAACCGGGGAGGAGAAGGAGCAGGGAATTCTCCAAGAGTTGGAAGCGTGGGGTCAGGGGCAGATAGCAATGTCCTCCAAGCTAGCTTAGAGGCAGCATGTCAGTATATTTAGCAGCTGATAGACAATTTGGATAGCTGTCCGATACTGGGTTAGGTATTAATAATAAACGGTTTTGTTGTCTCTTTTCCTGAACTTCATCTTCTCTTCTTTTTGCCTTTGGGATTCTTGAGGGTTGATTGATTCATGCATCTAATTCAATCATTCATCCACCCTTCCATCCTACTATCCATCCATGCTCTCATCCAATCTTTCACCTGATATTGAGGATCAGTTTTTATTGGTCCTTTCATATTTATGATTTCAAATGATTGTCACACTAATTGTTAGAGGATATCTGTGCCCTGTTTTCCAAGTGACATCATGGAAGCTCAGAAAAGGTTAAGTGACTTGCCCATGTTCACAAGTGGTAGATGTCAGGATTCCTGGCTTTAAATATTTAGTTTTGTGCATATAATGCTTATGTCTTTTTTGTGATAAAATTGCTCCTGACTATACTAAACTTGCAATGTAAAGAGTAAGCTATTAAATTTCAACAAGAGCAACCAGTATAATTAATGTTTTAAAATGTCATCATGTAGTCATGCTCTTAATTTATACTTTAGGGAAATATTTCTATAATTTTATTGTACTTGCCAAATAAAAATATTTTCAAATGGAATTTTGGAAGATGAAATTAGCAGTTAAAATAATCACAACAGCACTCTTCATACTTTGAATATTTATGAGTCTTGATATCAAAGCTAAGATAATATTTTTATTTTAAATATTCTCTTTTTGGGAAAAGAACTGGTTATTCTGAAGTATTTATTGTGAACGTTAAACCTTACAGTATTTGATTACTACTCATTATGGTGATGAAAGTTCTACTTTCATCAGGTACCTATTGATTTAGACAATTTAGTTAAGTAAATCTTTAATTGAAACCAAGTAGCATCACAACGATGAGAGTCACCAAGAGGAATTAAGTGTTTGAGTGAAAATTAGGCAATTCAGCATATCAAAAGTAATAAGCTGGATAGTTCTGCATAGGTGCACTAAAAACAACCAAGTAGTAACTTGTGAAGCTGACTTTATAAGAGACACTTATTTCTGGTCTCAGTATTGTGACTGTTGAAATGAGAACTTTCTTGATTAAAAGCCAGGATTATTTTTCTAATTACCATTTTCATATTCCAATGTCCATGTCATTGTTTGGTACTTTCACTGATAACTAAATTTGCAGATGTGAGAGTCGTGCATCCCCTCCATTGAAGTCATTCGAGTGAACATACTATCATGAAGTTTCTTATGAGTTAAGAAACTGTAGGAGACGGGGCAAGATGGCGACGGCATAGGTGAACTGGTGAGATTCTCTGAACGGACCAAGACTGCAAACTGCTGAATAGACAGACTGTAAAGCAGAGGGAAAAGTGAACAAAACCAGAAGACCCTCATAAGGAAGAACAGGTCATTGCAGAAGAGAAATAAAAGCAACCCCACCTTCCCTCAAAAACAGAATTGAAGAGGGGGAGGGAAAGGGGTAAAAGAAGAAAAATCTACAGAAATGAAGAAAAACCAAAAGAAGAGTATGGGTCTCTCCCAGACGCCTGGGAGAGCAGACACTGAGAAAATTGACTTTGGAATACAAACAATGAAAAGTCCCCAGAATGAAGGGTCTCAAAATGCAAATGTAGATATCAAAACAATAATGGAGAGACTAAAAAGAATTGAGGAGACACAAGAAGAAACTAGGAAGGAGCTGATATCTGAGATAACAGTAATAAAGAATACTGTGAATGAAATAAATAACAAATTGATAAGCATGGAAAGCAGAATTACCCAAGCAGAAGAAAGAATCTCAGAGCTTGAGGACCAAAATATAGAAATAACCCAAACTCTTAAAAACACAGAAAATAAGCTAAAAAAGACAGAACAAAACCTTCAAGAGATGAGTGACTACCTCAAGAGGCCTAACCTAAGAATAATCGGACTCCCTGAGGCAGAAAGAGAAACAGAGACCACATTGGAACAAACTTTCCACGAGATCATTCAAGAAAATTTCCCTCATCTAATCAGTGATACAAAAATTCAAACACAAGAGATTCAGAGAACCCCCGCAAGACAACAAATGAGAAGACCAACTCCTAGACACATAATAATTCGCCTAAATAAAGTAGGCACAAAAGAAAAAATCCTAAAGGCAGCAAGAGAAAAAGGCCAGATCACCCACCATGGAAGACCAATCAGAATAGCAACAGATTTATCTGCAGAAACCCTGCAGGCTAGGAGAGCTTGGAGCCCTATCTTCAAAGTCCTAAAGGATAAACAATTTCAACCAAGAATAACCT